GGATTGAAGCTCAATGTCAAGAAGACAAAGATTCTCACCACTGGACCAATTGGCAGTATCAGAATGGATGGTGAAGAGATTGAGATTGTTAACAACTTTAGTCTGCTTGGCTCCACGGTCAACACTCTTGGCACCAGCAGCCAGGAAATAAAAAAATGTATTGTGATGAGAAAGTCTGCTGTTAGGGACCTCTCCAGGGTACTGAAGAGCAATGGTGTCTCTCTGGAGACTTATGGTGCGTCTGATACAGGCTATGGTCTTTGCAATTACTTGTTATGCATCAGACAGTTGGACAATGACTAAGGAGGATAGGAGAATTGATGCCTTTGAGCTGTGGTGCTGGAGAAGAGTATTGAATGTACCCTGGATTGCCAAAAAAACAGATTCATCCTGGAGAGGGTTAAACCAATATACTCCTTGGAGGCAAGGATTCTGGGGCTTCGTCTGACATAGTTTGGGCATGTTGCAAGGAGGGACAGGTCCTTGGAAAGGGACATCATGCTTGGGAGAGTGAAGGGACGGTGCAGAAGGGGAAGACCCTCTATGAGGTGGATTGATTCAGTGACTGGGGTAATCGAGATGGGTGTGTCAGAGGCAGTGAGATAGGCACAGGATAGAGCAGGGTTTAGGGCTGTTGTATATAGGGTTGCTATGAGTCACAAGCGACTCAACGGCACATAACAACAACAAGGGGATGGGTGGAAATATGCTAATAGTATTAGCCTATCCTCAAGGATATTGGCCAATCAGTCCACAAAGGCTAGTCTTTCCACCAAATTGAATAGATCCAGCAGTAGAAAGAAAAAAATCTCACCACCAAGAGAAGAGCAAGCAAGAGGGCCTATAGGACCAGCAGCCAGAGCAGCCATAGGGGAGAACCAGCCCCCTGCCATGAGATGGGACCTTGGCACTGCTACATTACTGGAACCAGAGCAAAAGCTTTTGCTCAAGGTTGTTGGACAGGACTGACAACTTTGTAACACTGGCCTTAAAGCCATGAAACTCACAGCTGGGGTGCCTGATAGCACATTTCAGATGCCTTCCTCACTGTATTCTGTCACTAAACTATATTATAACTTTTGACCTCAATATGGTTCTGTGTGGCCCCTGAGCTATCACACTGGAGTCGGGACCCAGTAAAGCAGTAAAATTGGGGTTGAGATGAGTGAAAAAAGGTATGGGAGCCTGGGGGATATGTCTGACCTCACAGGAAATGGTTTTGTGTTACTGATGCTGTTGAAGACAGTTTCTCTTTGTGAAGTTGGTAAAGGTCAGATATGACCACCCCCTTGTGGCCCTTGCTCCTTTTACACACTGCAGCAAAGGACTCAGGTGTGTCAGAATTTATGAGGATGGCACAGGATAAGACAGGGTTCAGATCTGTTGTTCGTAGGGTTGCTATGAATTTGTACTCAACGACAACAATAACAAAAAGAAGCTGAGGCTTAGAGACGTTAATTAAGTAACATGTTCACACTCTGCCCAAGGCCAGATTCAACTGTATGGTAGTGGCATCTCATTTCCAAAGTAAATTCTTTTCCATGCCCATTGTATGAACAATACCTCTATAACATACCAAAAATAATAGAAAATTATATGCTATCTTTAGTCCCATGGTCCAGTTTTCTTATTTTTTTTAAATGAGGTGATAGGCCCAGAAAGGATAAATCCCCAGTGTACACATTTTTTCACATATGCATACATAGTAAGTAAACACACATCTCAGGATCTTTTATGAAGCATTCTAACTGCTCAAATTTTCTCCTAAGCTCAAGTGGGAAAATTAGACATTCCTTCCAAAACATGTCTTATTTGAAGAATTGACTAGAGAAGTTGAAGGAATTGCTGTTATTATTTATTACTATTTCTCTCTAAAGAATTCCTCCAATACCCCAGCTATTGGAAATGCCTCCAGAGCAGACGGGATTCCTGGCGCAGATACAGCTCTCCCAAGAAGCGGACTGTTGTCTCCAGTCCTCTCCAGCTTCCCCTGCCTCACTGTCCTCCCCACTCTCACCTCACTTCTCAGCTCCCCTTGTACTTGATGCTCCGGCTGTGCTGTACTTTTTAGCATATCCCATAGCTCCATTCTCCTCTTTGTCTCTGAGCTTACAAACAAATGCTTCCTTGACAGGCCTGAAAAACTCTCCCCCACATTTCTTATCTTTGAAGCACTTAACATGGCTGATGAAATGGTATTTTTTTTCTTTTTACAACCTGCTTTTTTGTCTCCTAAGAAGGAGCTCTGGTGGTGTAGTGGATAGAGAGTTGTGCTCCTATCTCAAAGCTGGCCCCTCTCTAGCAGTTCAAATCCACTAGTGGCTCTGCAGGAAAAGATAGGTGATCTCACGTGTGCTGGAGGATCAATTATGGTTCATTTCTGACCCCACAGCAATGACTTTGACTAACTGAATGACTTTGAATAACTGAAAAGGTAGCTCTGATGTCATAGTCTATAGAGTTGTGGTGCTGACCCAAACATGCCTCTCTGGCAGGTCAATTCCACCATTGATTCAATAGGACAAAGACAGGCGATCAGCTCTGGTGAAATTTTCTGCCTCAGGAACGCAAGGGAGGGTCAGCCAAAAATTGGAACCAACTTGAAGGCAATAAGTAAGTGAGTTAATGACTGATGAAAGAACTGTGTGATCTACTGGCCCTCCACTTCTGAAATAACAGGCCTTTGAAAACCCTATGTATAATAGAGCATACTTAGAGTATACTGTCTCCGGATAGGGCAAGGTTCAGAGCTATTGCACATTAGGGTAACCATGAGTCTCGAATGACTGGATAGCACACAATAATAACAAAACAATAGCATAGTCTGTAACAAGTTGTGCTTCTAACCCAATGACCAGGTATTTCTGACTTTGTAAATCTAGCAGGTGCTCCTCCGGGGAAAGATAATTTCCTCTGAAATGACTAACAGCCTTGAAAATGTGACAGAGGGTTCCTATGAGTTAGAAGCTAGGGCAAGGCACTGAGGTTTTAGTTTGAATGAGTATTAAATTCCTGGTTTATATTTATTTACAGTGTTGTGTTATTTTCTCACAACTTTTTAAAATACTGACACTAAATGCTACAGTGTTGCAAAAAAAACCCCACGAAAAACTCTCCCCCCAAGCTCACCAAGTCCCTTTTTGTCTAATCCTTCAAAATAGGTTTCAGTTTAAAAATCTCTTCTTCAGGAACTGCTTCCCCCCTCAGATCAGATTGCACACGTTCTTCATATACACACATACACATGTACATGCGTACATTCACACGGCACCCTGTATTCACATTCACAGGGACCTGCTGCTTATTACTGGTTTATTTATCCATTTCCTCACTGGTGTCCTGAGGACAGAGACAATTTCTTGTTCCCTTTGTGTCCCCAGTACTAGAGTCTGTCACGTAATAGGTATTAAATAACCACCTGTGAAAGAAGGAAGGGAAGGAGGGAGAGAAGGATTTTTCTTTTATTATATATAGTTTTCAAACTAGATTAAAAGAATTCTCTATTTTAAGAAGTTAGAGTCCTCGACTGGCAATTGATTAAATAAGTTAGAGTACACTTGTCCTGGTACGATAAGCAAGCAGCCCCTGGTGCTTAATGGTTAAGCATTCAACTATTGATCAAAAGATTTGTGATTAAAATCCATCAGCCATAATGTGAGGAAAAGATTTGGTAGTCAGCTTCCATGAAGATTTACAGTCTTCAAAACCCAATGTGGGGGAACCCAATGGGGCATTTCTACAACCCCATAGGATCATTATGACTCAGAAGCAACTAAACGGTAACGAGACATTGGAATCATGTATTTATTGGTAACCATAAAAAGCAAAGGAAAGCTGCCATTATACAATTGTCATCAAACACTTAGTAAGGTCTTCTTTGGAAAGAAACATGCAGCCGTGCTTAATATTCTACTAAAAAATATAATGTGCAGTCATTAATATGAAAAAATAGCTCCAGATGTACTAGCAAAAAAGATGTTCATATTGATTTATTAAGTAAAACGGCAAATACATTTGAAAAACACTTATCTTTCATAATAACTATAAATATTTACTATTATATGCCTCCACTAGCTGTCCCACATGAGAAAGATTATCAGTCTCTTTCTGTGCAGTTTCTAGCCTCTATAAACCCCCTGGAGGGTGAGCTATCAGCCAGTTCTGACTCAATGGCACATTACAACAGGAATATCTGCCTAGAGAAAACACTACCACCAAGATGTTAACATTAATTCTCCTGCAGAATAGGTTTAGAGGAGACTTTTCTAAGGTATACAATTTGACATTTCTTGAACCAGGAACATGTAAATAATCCCAGAATGGAGGGAGAGACAATGTTTTGGAGACTGGGCAAATTTCAGACTGTCAGGAAACTAAATATGCACCTGGGATTTGTGCATGAGCACAGGGAAGCAGTGTGGTATGGTGCTGGCTCATAAAAGAAAATCACGTGTAGTAACAGAGACTAGGAACTACAAAGTAGGTAAAATTTCACATCTGCCAGTACTTCATCAAAGGCTAGGTTCTCATCGCCAAGAGTTTCAATCCAAGATTTCTCTCTTGAAGTCAGTGCAGTTTAGGGGAACTTAGTATCAATTGTTTTCCTCTTCTTTCTGCTCCTCAAAAATATAATTCTTTTCTTTCCCACTTTTAGCTTTGTGAATTTAAAAAAAGAAAAATTAAAAAGAACCACACGAGGGCAGCATCTACATGTACAACAGGGGTGCTGAAGTATTCCTAGCCAAAAACACCAAAGGAATGATGCTAACATAGAATGGTCATTGAGGCAAAAGCAATTGTAGTAGCATCTCACTCAAAATACATGTGAAGTCAATCTTAATAATCTGCTGAAAAATTATAAACAGCAGATGAAAAGAAATCTATGCTGGTGAATGTGGCTAATATTCTATTGTTTTTTGCAGGTGGCAACTGAGAAGAGGTGCGATAGAAGGAACAGTCTGGTACCTAAGACCTAATTCAATGTAAATTCTTGCACCAGAATGGAAGGGGACTCTTCCCACAATGCAACCACTGTCAATGGCACCCCAGTCCACCACCAGTCCTTCGAAAGCCACGGATTGTGGGAAGTCATCACCATAGCTGTTGTAACTGCTGTGGTAAGCCTGATCACCATTGTGGGAAACGTCTTAGTCATGATCTCCTTCAAAGTCAACAGTCAGCTCAAGACAGTTAACAATTACTACCTGCTCAGCTTGGCCTGTGCAGATCTCATCATTGGGATCTTTTCCATGAACCTCTATACCACCTACATCCTCATGGGTCGCTGGGCCCTTGGGAGTCTGGCGTGTGACCTATGGCTTGCACTGGACTATGTAGCCAGCAATGCTTCTGTCATGAACCTTCTGGTGATCAGTTTTGACCGTTACTTTTCCATCACAAGACCCCTGACATATCGGGCCAAACGTACCCCAAAGAGGGCTGGCATTATGATTGGCTTGGCCTGGCTGATCTCCTTCATCCTCTGGGCCCCCGCAATCCTCTGCTGGCAGTACTTGGTTGGCGAGCGGACAGTGCCCCCCGATGAATGCCAGATTCAGTTCCTTTCTGAGCCAACCATCACTTTCGGTACTGCTATTGCTGCCTTCTACATCCCTGTCTCCGTCATGACTATCCTTTACTGCCGAATCTACCGGGAAACAGAGAAGCGAACCAAGGATCTGGCTGACCTCCAGGGCTCTGACTCCGTGGCTGAAGCTGAGAAAAGAAGGGCCACTCATAGGACTCTGCTCAGCTCCTGCTTTCACTGCCCTCAGCCCACGCTGGCCCAGAGGGAAAGGAACCAGGCCTCATGGTCGTCCTCTCGCAGAAGCACCTCCATCACTGGGAAGCCATCCCAACCCACTGGCTCAAGCACCGACTGGACCAAAGCTGAGCAGCTCACCACCTGTAGCAGTTACCCTTCCTCAGAGGATGAGGACAAGCCCACCACTGACCCTGTTTTCCAAGTGGTCTACAAGAGTCAGGTCAAGGAAAGCCCAAAGGAAGAATTGAATGCTGAAGAGGCCAGGGAAACATTTATGAAAACTCAAACCGAAAAAAATGACTATGACACCCAAAAATACTTTCTGTCTCCAACTGCTGCTCACACACCCAAGAGTCAGAAATGTGTGGCCTATAAATTCAGATTGGTGGTAAAAGCTGATGGGACCCAAGAGACCAACAATGGCTGTCGCAAGGTGAAAATCATGCCCTGCTCTTTCCCTGTGTCCAAGGACTCTTCACCAAAAAGCCTTGACCCCAGCCTCAGCCATCAAATGACCAAACGGAAGAGAATGGTCCTTGTAAAAGAGAGGAAAGCAGCCCAGACCTTGAGTGCCATTCTTCTAGCCTTCATCATTACATGGACCCCTTATAATATCATGGTCTTGGTCTCCACCTTCTGTGACAAGTGCGTCCCAGTCAGCCTGTGGCACTTGGGCTACTGGTTGTGTTATGTCAACAGCACTGTCAACCCCATTTGCTATGCCCTCTGCAACAGAACCTTCAGGAAGACCTTCAAGATGCTGCTTCTCTGCCGATGGAAAAAGAAGAAAGTGGAAGAGAAGTTGTATTGGCAGGGGAATAGCAAGCTCCCATGACATGTTAACGCCCCTCTACTTCCTGTTATTGACAAAATGATCCTGAATTGTTTACTTTCAACAAGATATCTGCTATTTTGGTCCCTGGTGACTTTTTAAAAAAACCTCAAGGTCTTTCACCAAAAGGAAGACATCACAGCTGCAGTAATTGCTGCCTTTTGAGCAAGGTTACCTGCCTACAGTCACTGGAGTTTGTTTCTGAAGCAAACAGACCCTTGCATTTCACAATAGAAGGTACATTTGTTGAATGAACAATGATGAAGGGGAAACTTTGTCTAGCCTTCTGTAGGGAACATCAGAGACAAGTGGAAACCCTCCCTTGTGGACACATGTCATAGGGTTTTGTGCATTACGTATAAGTTTATGACGTTTCTTGTTCCTGTGAGAACCAGGAGAATGTAAGTCATTGTCACCTGTTAACAAGTGTGATACTCAACTGGCTTCTAAGAATATATTTCCTCATTAGTATTTATTACAGTTAATGTGTGGTTTGTTCTATCTGGTGACTATATTTGAGTAAAGCTCTTGTTCTTCTGTTTCCTAACTGATGCCAATTCTTGGAATCCACTGAAACCATGTTGATCCCTTTGGAACCATCATTCTCTCTGAATCAAGAGTCTGGAAAGTTACTGAAATCTAACCATACTCAGTCCTTCAAAGAGGCCTCTATTATGCTAATAAAAATTATCAGCTCTCAATAAATTCATTTTTCCAACCAGAAACTTTTAATTAAATAAATACTACTTACTATATTTTGAGTCAATTTGCACTCACTTACTCATTCTCTGTTCTTAGGAAAGACTAGTTACCAACAGTCCTTCTCTAGGTAAAGATCTTCCACAGGTTAGTTAACCATTATTCTCTTCAACTATTTTCAGAGATCTCATTTCACACAGTAAAATGTGAAAACAAAAATCGGTTTCATCTCATGCTTTTGCATTTCCAGAGCCCCTTTACTAAGCTTTCACTCATTCAGCTCTCAATTCATACATGTATAATGGATCATTGTGGAACCAGCTTGAAGTGCTACTTGGGTAGCACAAGTGTTGGGAAACACTGATTTTTCCCCACAGATCCTTCAAAACTCAAAGGCCAACAATTACATTGTTCTTCTTGTTAGGTAAAAATCCCAGAAAAGTACAGTGGTGGGGCCAGTGTATCTAGTTATAGTCCTTAAAGATGAAAGCCTCGTCGTTAAAACCATAGTGTATGTCAAGACAGGAGTCCAGAATGAAGGCTGCATAGTGGAGTGGACTTGAGGGGAGGGATTGGGTAACATGAAAGAATTTTTCTTTTACTTTATAAAGGGAAGAGCGAACTGATGGGAAGGGGTGGGTAAGGAGAAAAGTGCAACAATGAATGAATAAAAATCCAAAGTCTGTAAACTTTCATTAAAATGAATAACAATAATTTAAAAAAAACCAAACCAAAAACCATAGTGTATATCAGAGTAACACAGTAAAAAAGAAAAATTATCAAAATGAATAAGGGCATCACGATGATTAAAAATGAAATGTACTCTTTTAAACATATATGCTTTTATTTATTGTTGTTGAGCCAAATGTGAACTAGAATCTCTTTAAGTAGTCATAAAAACCAAAGAAAGACAACCAGTTGTCATGGAGTCAATGCTGAATCATCATGGTGACTGCATCCATACATAAACTGAGCTTAAAAGGTTTCTTTGATAATTCTGAAAGTAAACCAACGTGCAAGAAATTCATTGTACATGCTGCATAAATAAAAGATCCACAGCGGAAGCAGCAGTGTAGCACACATGAGATTTTAAAGATGAAACATGCCTGGAGAGCAGGAGTTCATCATTGAATCAATTAAGCATATCCATAGGTGTATTGGAAAATCTCTTCGATTTCCTCTTAGGGAGCCCCGGTGGTATAGTCTGTAGAAGCTGTGTTTCTAGCCCAAGCCTCTGGCCACCGGCAGCTCCAAGGGAGAAAGGGAAGCAGAGTCTCCTGCATGATTTACAGCCATGGAAACACACTGGAGGGTCTGCTATGAGTTAGTCGTTACTTGACAGCAATGAGATTTCATTTCACTTAATTTAGGGTAATTAGTTCTCAGTTTCATTTACTCATTCATTCATTGCCATCACCTCATTACTCATTTGTCTCATTGCAAAGGAGTGACCTCTGGCTTGGCTGGCTTTACTTGCGTTTAGATAAGCACTTCTGTATAGGAGAGATTTCATTCTTCACTGAAAAGCAAAACCCATTCCCTTCATGGTATCTCAAAGAAGTTTCAGGGGAAGTCTAATGCAGGGCAAACCTGGCCTACCTCGGCCTTTCCTCCAGCTCTGTGAGGTAAAACCTCTTGGAGGCAATGTGGCTCCCGTAGCCCTTTGTGAAAGGCTAGTCGACACTTGCCAAGTGTTTGTAAGACAATATTAATTCACTGGAGCAGTTCTCCAGCACAGAGGCTCCCAAGCCTACCTAATGCCAGACGGGTGTGACTTCAAGAGCAAACCTGCTCCACCAGCTCCAAATAAAGAGTTGATTCTCTTAGTTCAAGGCTTTCATTCTTGTCTGCTAATTAAAGCCCCTCCATGAGACTATCACGTAAAGTACACATTGGCATTCATTAATTCATTATAGAGAGTGAAACAAGTTAATGTGAACAAAAAGAACACAGAGCTGGGGGTTGCCAAGGATGTATTTGTATTCTCCACAACTCCCATGTGATTTACTGCTCTGAACACCCATTAGACGGTCAGCTATTAAGTCGTTTCTGACTAGATGGTACATAACAACATAATGTAGCCACAATTGCCTAGGACTTTGTTGGTTTTTTTTAAATTCATGTTTAGTAAAATTAATAGGCCTATGCATCCTTCATCATTGGCTTTGGAGGGACCCAGTTTTTCAGACTACCTGGGTTGAGACTGTAAAAAAATGTCTCATACTACTAGAGAAAAATAGATTTCTCTAGATGAGAAGCTTTACTAGGACCGTCAGAATGAACAAATCCAATTGTAAACTAGAGGGACCTGTTGGGTGGGTGAGAGGGCGGGCTGTGGGCTCACTTCAGGTCCTAGGCCTTCTACACCGTACACTCTGTCAACGGTAAACTTCCCAAGTTCTGTCTATGGTAAACTATGTATAGTTTTGATTAGTTACCTACTGAATGCTGTTATATTGCTAACATTGTGGTTTGTTGCTAAGATTTAGCTGTGAATTTGATGGCTTGTCAGGAAATTTTTTGTTTCCTTACAAAATTTGGTTAAAAAAAGTAATTTTGTCTCTTTCTGCCCTTTGCTTTGCTCCTATGGTGAATGTCCTGTGAGGATGCTGCTGATGTTCAATTCTTTGTAATTGTGAAATCTGTATCTAAACCTCTGGATTAGAATATCCATTTGTCAGATTGCTAAATCTACTGTAAATATTAGGAAATACAGTAAAAGATAAGAGGACTGGGGTAATTTTCTGTATTGTATAAATGTCATCTTGGACAATAAAGAAATTTAACCACTACAGTCTAATGTCAAGAGAAAATGGTCTCAGGTGGATAGGTCTATACAAGGAAGCCCAGAAAAATTTTCATGGCTTAGGCCTTTAAGGGAGAAGTTAGTACACTATACGAACACATGTCCCTCTTGCTACATTATGTAATATTCCCTGTTATTCTAAATAAACAACCAAATAAAGATGAAATAAGTTGGTAAGGTTTCTGTGATAGAAATGCTCCTTCTTCCACTCTAAGACAAAGAAGTGGGGCATATTTCAAACCACAACCAGTTTTGGAACAGGCACTTTGCAAGCAAATGCATTAGCATTTCCTCTGCAACTGCTCAAAGAGCTGGTATCTCAAACATTTCATTTCCACATCTTCCACAACGTCTAACCATAACATTTCAGATTATGTAAACTCTTAGCCAACAAAGGACCCAGGTTAAGAGTGGATAGGAGGCAGGGGTAAAAGTGTTTTTAAATGCCACAGAATGAGTTAGAAGAAAGAAGTTTAAATTTACAGAAGAGTTGCAAGAACTGTACAATGAACTTCTGTGGCCTTCATCCCAATTCCCCATAATGTTTTGCCACACTTGCACTCTTAAGATTTGTTCTCTTTTCCCTCTGCACATACACACGGATTATATCTTGACTTTGCTGTTGTTTTCAGAGGCAGAATCACATGGGAGGATACTGCTCACCTTTATCCAGCCAGGCACCTGGTGAATTCAAATCCCGTGCCTTTGGGCTGGCAGTGCAATTCCTCACCATTAAGCCACAGGAGCTCCGTTTTAGAAAGCTTGGTATCTGAATTCAGAGCCCCAGCTGTAGGGGAAGATTCTTGGGAAATATCCACATCTCTTCTAATATTCCTCCCTTCCCTGGCAATCATCTCATGCATGGCATGACATGTAACTTCTCATTTGTGTTTGCTACTCCTTGTTAAAACACACCAGACAATGACAGGTCCTCATTAACATAATAAAGGAAATCCTATTTCCAATTAGGATTTACCAACACATCGTTATTTGGGGAATTATTGTTGTTAAGTGTCATACAGTTGGCCAAGACTCAAAGAAATCCTTTGTACGAACAACAGATCTGAACACTGTCCTATCCTGCCACCTCACCATTCCTGCCATCCTCAAGCTCACTGCCCCAGCCACTGTTCTCAATCCATCACTAACCCATAGTACAGGTGCTTCACAGTAGATCCTTTACTAAACGAATACATGCACACCTGAGAGGAAATGGTTATAAGGTAAGGCCCCTGCTTTTTCTCAGTGTTCCCCCTCCGTCTCCCAAGTGTGGCTAGGATCTCTGTGATTCCCTAAGTATTTAACCTTGAGTTTCTTCATCTAAAAAGAATATTAATAACTGAAAACTTTCACTGGATGTCTCTATGCACTGCAAGGTCCTGAGTATTTCATGTGTATTTTCTGGTTTACTCTTCAAATTAAAGCAATTTACTTATGCTGATGGATCGAAGGTTCCAAGAGATCAAATAACTTTTCTAATACCACACAAGAAAATGAT